CGTTCACCTATTTTGCACACAGGCGGTCGATCATTGTGAAAAATTGTGTGAAGATTTATTTTTATTGAGACGTTCCAAGTGCCTGTGCTTTCATCCGTCTTGTACGTCAATGCACGTTCGTCAAGAGCCATAAACTCAACACAATTTCATCTCTGTTATTGTTTACGCCTGAATGCATGATTGATCAGGGAGGGGGTGCATGTACGAGGGAGACATTTTCTTTGGGGTTCCGAAAAACACAATTCCACTTGACAGTTTTAGGGGCCATTTCAATTGGACGCTCTGCATAATGGACCTCCAACAAGCCCTTTGACTGACTAGTCAAGAAATTCAAAGGTCTGTATATTGCTCTTATTTAGCCGCCAATAGTTCTTGTTTAGAACAAAGTCTTTATTGTTATCTTCTAAAACTACAGACCATCCGCTGACCGCTGTGGAGACGTGCGCTGGTCCTCGAATTTAGCACACGTCTCCACTGCGGACAGCGCTTCATACTTGCGCAGCGCTCAGGATCAAGAGCAAAGCTGTGCCACGCAATCTTGTATCATGTCTCTCTGGATTTTATCAACGCACTTGGGACAGGGAAATTTTCAGATAAATCGAAATAAAAAGTGTGTGATTTAGTGTATATATATATAATATATATGGGACGTACTAAGAGTAAATAATAACATATTATTTACTCTTGACCGTTTGTCTCACCTCTTTTTTGCCCCCGTGCTACCGCACATATAAATTGAACGGATAATATTTATTTAATTAAAAACTACCGTCAGAACTTTATCATAGAAAATTGTTTATACACATGTCCTCAATTGCAGTTGTAAATATGAGCACAAAGGGCAACTCGCAGATAATGACGTATTGCATGTTGCTTCCTATGCGACAAGCTTCGGAAATGTGTGGGTCATGCAATTATTATTTCAAACTTCTAGCTTACACAAACGTATTCTATGATCTCTAAGAACATAATTTTTTGTCGATGATATTTATTTTGGAATATACAGCGCATAACAGCTGCTAGGATACAATATAGACACCTAAATCGCATGCACTTTTGAACGATTTGTTCCTTCCTATAAATTCATAGCAATTAATCCTAATCAATATCGTGCATATTTTTCTATAATCATTGTAGTATTATTACTATTATATAATCATTACCATATTGATAATCACATAGTAATTGTACATAATTTATTTATGTGCATGTTGCTTGTAATTCACACAAGCTAAAACTTAAATTATATATAATCTAGAAAGCCGAAATAACAGCTGAATTTTCAATATTCTTGTGTATCAATGATGAACCAATGGTCTTAATGTGGCCAATTTGGTGGATTACAACATATCGCCGGTGTGAGAGGCTGATTCGGGGTAATTCTCCACGCGGACACGTGAACACCATGTACGGTATGAGAGCGTAACGCATCCGCGATCATGTAGACTTGTTAGGTTGTAAGCAATGTCCCGACCCTGCCACGAGGCACAGACGGCGTGTACTGCTGTTTGCCTTGCCAGAGGGTAGTCTCCACGAGTTGATTTATTACGACAGAGCAGGGAAACGGGTGTAGTCGTAATGGCAAAATGTAGTGCGACCAGTGAACTCCTATTATTATTCACTTGAGACAAATAGCATGTGTCTCGGAGGGCGTGTGTACCACCAGCGTTGTAAGCGCACATTACGACCAGTCAAACTTCTCTCTCTCTCTCTCTCTTTCTCTCTCTCTTTCTCTCTCTCTCTCTCTCTCTCTCTCTCTCTCTCTCTCTCTCAAGTAATACTGAGTATGTTTTAAGTAAGATAATATATCAGTCGTTGAAATTCAAGTTGAAGTTCAAGTTTTATAGTAAATGTATGAAACGGAAAGCATATAAATTAGTACATGTAATGATTTCAATTTTCTTTTGTAATAAAAGTGTGTTCAATCCATATCGCAGTTTGATTTCACCGGGTACTAGTATTTTGTCGCTCTGATGGCAGTTAATTTCAAGCAAGTTGATGGTTTTTGTGGCTTTGTGGATTTTGCCTTGTACTGGAATTGTCTGTTTCATTGCTATATGACAAGACTTGAAGTAAAAAAATTTCGCCTCATATGCTCTGAAAATGCATAAAAAGGAGTCTGATTTTTAAAAATTTTCTGGGGGAGGCCCCCCCGACCCCCCACCGGTTCCTTCGCACCTGCGGTCCTCGCGCACGAAGCGGCGGCGCAGCCACCGCTTCAGTTGCCCCTAACAAAATCTCAAAGTGCTCTTTCCCACCTGCACCCCCCCCCCCTAGACAAAATCCTGCATCCGCCCCTGGCGAGGTACGGTCCGGCATATTAGATAGTACCAGCTAGGGTACGTTCCGGTATACCGGACCGTACCCAGGGTACGTTCCGGCAGTACACTGGGGGACATAGACCCTCTCAGCGCAAGCAACCATAACTACTACTACTAGTACTACATCTATCCCACAGGCATATATTTATGTGTCAGTGTGCGCGCAATGGCGGCGGCGTGTGTTTACAGTTGAAACGCTTCAAGTGCCTTAACCCGGCCAGGCTGTGTGACTAACGTCAATACACCGCCTGACATCTATCTGGTATTCTAACCCTAGCAATACCGTTTCTTGGAGCTACAAGTGCCTGTGATCTATCCTGGTATTATATCCAGTATTGTTCTAATTAAAAAAATAATGACACTGGTAATGTCATGGTGGGCAACAACCCTACTCTGTGCGGAATCCGGCCTCATGTCATTGGAAACGCTAGATATTCTTAAGATGATAATAATGATATTATCAGGATTCTATCAATATTATCATGATGTCTTCCCGAACTGAACCAAGCTAGTCATTCAAATTGCATTGTTGATAAACAAATCTTAGCACCCATTGTCGGTTCAAGGATAGAGAACATGGCCCATGGCATGGGTCCCAATAAAACCAATGTCATTTACATCAATATAAATATAATATTATATCAATATAATAGGTTAGGGTTATGGTTAGGGTTAGGGTTAGGCACATTGGTTTTATTGGGACCCATGTTCTCTATCCTTGGGCCATACTTATAGAAATATATTAGTTATCATAATGTGAAAGGATGTTACCTCCAAAATTGAATTCATAAGTGTCACTGTAAAAGTGTAAGTAAATAAATGATTTTCTACCATTTAGAATTCGACGCATGCGCACTTTTTACACTGGGGGCGCCACCATCCAATGGCATACGAAAATGCAAGTACC